TTCACGAGTAGTCCAGAGTCACCGCATTTGAACCTCCGTGGCCACAAGATGATTTTCATTTCTCTTTGAATTCGAACCTCAGACCTCCAGACACTTCTGATTTTTGGAGCTCAAATTCAAACCAATTGGGCATCACCCTTTGTGGTTAAATATGATTCATTGTTTAGATATACATTAAGTATAAATGATTTCTTACAGAACAAAAGTTGATACTTATAGAATTTTATAAACTTTGTTTGATTTTAATGAACTGTATTTTACGGAGATTGGACATGATAAATTTGTTTAGCGTTGATGAAGGGAATATGAAAAGATGTTTGATTTTCGATGGATATCGTAAATGAAACAATGAATTTTGTAAAGTCAAAGTATGGCTTTAATGGACTTTTGATTGTGTAATCGTACACAAAGGTATGCAAAAGGTGAAAATATATTATCATAGCGTGAGTGCAGTATTGTTGGAAACTCGACCAAAGTTCAAAAATCAGGAGAACAATGTAAATAGTAAATTGTTGGATATTACCGCGATTAAGCAACTAACATATCCGATTTGTGCCATGAACGAATATGCAAGCATACGTTTCATGCTTGTTTGAGTAATAGCAATGAGATTATTCAATATCATGCTAAGAATAGCTACGATTTCCAGTGTCAGATTCAATGCAATGGACGAGAAGGCTGACATGAAGGCTTTCATCGAAGGCAAAGCGGTGGGAATAGATGGCATGTTTGGTTTCGTGGGAACTGCAACAAGGTGATATAAGCATTCAAGCAGAAACTTTGACTCTAACTACGTGTTTGGAAAGAAATTCTCGAGGTAATAGTAAAACATTAATTAGGTGGAGGTAAGTTTGTGTCCAGTTTTGTAAAACCGAAATGTATGCATGTGTTATTTGTTCCAGCTGTTTACGTGTACATATTCATTACAACAAAACTTGAATTCTAGAACATGTTCGACAATTTATTTTAACGCTTTTATTAGTAATATATGCCTGTTTTTATCTGATGTTTGTATGTAATATATGTTTGTTTTTATCTGATGTTTGTATGTAATGTTTTTAAAAAAATTAGAAAAAAAAAATATATGGATAATTGGTTAAAAACTAAAATGTTCGATAAGTGAGTCAAAACATTGAAGAATCCAGTCAGATCCAATGAATTAAGAATAGCAATATCTAATTGATAGAACTGACATGATCCAAATTAAATTAAATTGAATCGTTTGTTCGAAGTTAAATCTGGATTATATCGATTAGCAAAATCCAAAATCCAATAAATACCTGAATTATATTATTTCCATCTAAATTCATCGAATTTCAATCAAAATCAGTGTGAGATTTTATGTAAGAAAAATTGAAGTTTAAGGACTAATAGTGAAATTAAAGAAGGTTTAACTTTTAAGGCATCTTTGAGAAGTGACATACCACTAACATTCAACATCAATTATTTAAGTATGCCCAATTATCAGACAAGGCTTATATTTAATTATTTTCAAGACTCAAAAAATATTATCCAAGAATGAGTTCATCAAAGGATGAAAGACAACCACAAACTGAGGTGTTTAATTGGTTTGAGCTTGAACTTTAAAAGTCAAAAGTATTTGGAGGTTCCAGGTTCAAATTGAAGAAAGAATAAAAATTTCTTTATAGTTATGGAGGTTCAAATACGATGACTATGGGCTACATGCAAAACAGATGTTCATCCTGAGATTAATCGGCTCGCATAACAGGTTGGATATCTAGGTTAATAAAAAAAAGATGACAAACTCAAGCTTCAATTTAATTTTAATAGTTAAAAGAGATGTTTAGAATATTTTAATATAAAATCTTAAGTAAACTATGTTTTTTTTTAATTTCGTACATGTGTTTTTAAGAACTACAATTTTTATACATCTGATTTATAATTTATTGTCATTTTTTTGTTTTTGAAAGTAACTTTAGTGAGGATTTATAGTTAAATATGAAAAACAACAATAGATTGTAAACTATAAAGAAAAAACTACAAGTTCAAAAGCTCAGGGACCCGAACAGTAATTTCTATCGAACCGTTGAACGAAAAAACAGTAGTTTACTTTAAAATCTTAAACTAAAAAATCTTCATCCCTCAAGAAATTATTATAAATTTTTATGAATCATGCATCACACGCGTATAATATTATGTCTTAGCACTGTCATAACAAAGTAAATAAAGCATTTCATGTCGTTTTCAAGTTGAAATTTTAGTTTGTCAGACGACACGAAATTCTTAATGTGTTCCATCAACGGAACAAATAAAAGTATTCGATGAATATAATATTTAAGAATTTTATAAAGACATTTACTTCGACAAGTAACAAGAATGGTCAAAGTCAACAAGTAAAGTAACGAGTTAAATGACGAAGAAGCACCACGTATTTGTAGTTTATTCCGTTTTTGAAGCAGTCATCCTTGGAAAATTGAGATGGAATTTTGACGAAACAAATTTTCTAAAAGATCTAGCAGCGTAATCTAACGTGCGTTTTAAAGATTTTAGAGTGCGTTTGATGAATTACTAAATTAACCATTCATTTCAAATTACAACTTTAGAACCTTGTACAATTCTTTAACTCGCAATACTTCGTTTCATCATTCTAATCATGTTCAGTCCAATCATCTTTAATCTCGTTCATGTAACAATCGCACTCTATGTACGGTAAAAGAGATGTTATCGGACTTTTATTAGATCATATATGTTAACCGAAAAACTTAAAGTTTGTTTGTACATGTATAATGCATGAACCATAAGTTATGTATATGAAAACTATACTAATTACAAACATAACATTTTTAAACGGGAAGTATACATACATACATAATACATACATACATACGTACGTATATACATACGTACGTACGTACATACATACATATAGAGAGAGATGTTTTTTTGTTAACCCAATAATTGGTGTTAACTTCGTGAACCAATCTTGACCCTTGATTTTTAAAATATATGGATGAGATCAATTATGACATTTGTAATTAATTAAATTGAAGGTGGACAGGAGTATTTTTGGTAGAGATGTTCAAATCGGTTGCAAATCGATAATTAATTAATTATATCGGTTATAAATCGGTAATTGTTTATTCCTTTTATAGTTCGTAGAATCATCCGTGTCGCATTATGAACATATATGTCGCTTATTAACTAATCTTAGTTCGTGACTTTCACATATGAATATACGTAAACACTTATGAACATTTATTTGCACCTATTAAAACTCATGAACAATAAAGTAATTGATTTTCACATGTAAACACAATAATATATGGTCAAAGTGTTTCGCTTGTTAACACATATTGACCAAATGTTAGATGTATGTATATAGATACTGTTTTATGGACACAATGGAACACAAGTGAACAATATATACATCATATGAACATTGGCGACGACATATATGTTGAAGATAGAACATTCAAAAATTTTATCATATTAAAATAACAAGTCATCCATAATTTGAAAAAAAAAATAAACATATTGATTTAACTATAAACATTGTGTCATCAATATTAATTTTATAGTGATAGAAGAACATAATCTAACAAAAGCTTATGATTGGTCTAAATTGTTTGTATAGTTAATACATTTTTCATCGTTAACAAATGATTTTAGCGCACAAGCGCTCTCTCTCTCTCTCTCTATATATATATATATGTGTGTGTATATATATATATATATATATATATATATAAATATAAAGAAGAGTATAATTTTTCCATATAAAACAATTTAAAAACACAAAATTCCACTGGAGAAGAATTGTAAAGTTGACTGGTTCTACGTGTGTAATATTTTCTTGAAAAGAATTCAAAATAAGTATATATTAATAATATTAAATTTATTAATTTCATATTTAATACTTGAATACAATAAATCAGTTGCATATTTTTAATTTAAAATTATTATTTTAACCGAATTAAAATATTTCTACATAACTTACAATAAAAACTTTTATTCCAATTAAAATAAAAACATATAATATTGATTTTATGTTTTTTGCTTTTTTTTTTTGGTATAAATATAATCAATGATTTATTATGGTAAACTAGTAATATGAAAATAGTGTGGACAAGATCACGAACAAGATGACATATGGATAGAATTTAAACATTGAATAAAAGTAAAATTAATTAAATAAAAAAATTAAAAGATTACAACAAATTAACGACCAAACACGTGAACACTAAATTACCATATTCCCATTAATCAATTAGTACTAATCAAGCTTTGTTCATGATAATCTTATTAATTTCAGATTACCAATCACTTCATGTCCATTTTTAACTTTAATTTACTTATCACTTTTCTTTCTTCTTCCTCCAACTTCATCTATATTTTATATATACCCAGAATTTTTAATTTAACGCAATCACGTAAATGTCCAACTTCTTCAAATATTTCATTGCAATTTTTTTGAAGTATATATAATATTTATAGGATAAATAGAACAAATAAACGTACATGCTTTCTCCCTTGACCTTCTAAAAAACTAATGACTCATATACAGCTAAGTTAAAATTGACTAAAATAAATTTTTAATTGAAAAAATGATTAAAAAGTAAAATGGGACAATGGGCTATTTTGGCAATTGTTGGTTTGTTTGGAGTTATAAAAACCAAGCGGTTCTTGATTGTTGAAATGGGGAGTTCGCCGGCACAACAATCTGACCATAAACAGCCGTTTGCTCATGTAACCGGACAAATCCCCTTCTGACGTGTCCATACCCTGGTCCCCATTTTTCCATCCCCTTCCCGACATGATGACCTGGATCGGTCCCACCTGTCGCCTCTCTCCACACAAAAGCAAAAACACATAATTTCGTCATCTTCTTCATAGAGGTTTCTGACATGGCCTTATGACATGGCATACGACCCAAAACAAACAAGCCTTCACCACCTTCTCTGTGTGTGTGTGTATGTATATATATATGCTACCACCTCCCTCCATTCTCAATCACAACAAACAAACTTAAACCACACAGGTTTAAATTCCTTACTATCTCTCTGATTAATCATGGCCGTTGATTCATCGACGTCGTCATCCCTCGGCCCGCCGGCCACCGAGAAAGATGCAAAGGCTCTTCAGTTTATAGAAGAGATGACTAAGAACTGTGATTCGGTTCAGGAGAATGTTTTGAGTCAAATTCTGACCCAAAATGCTGACGCTGAATACCTCAAAAAATGGAACCTTGGTGGCGGCGGCGCTGTCAATCGGAAAACTTTCAAGTCAAAAGTTCCGGTCGTCTCTTATGAGGATCTCCATCCCTACATCCAACGTATCGTCAATGGCGATCGTTCTCCCATCCTCTCCACTCGCCCCATTTCCGAATTCCTTACTAGGTCATCATGCATCACTTAATTAATAATATTTTATTTTATAATTGATTTCTTTTAAGTATAAATTAATGAACTGCACTTGATTTTAAATTCTAATTTATAATAGTTAATTAATTGTTAATTACAGTTCTGGGACATCAGCTGGAGAAAGAAAGCTCATGCCCACCATTGCTGACGAGATGGATCGCAGACAGAAGCTTTATAGTCTTCTCATGCCTGTCATGAACTTGTACGTTATCAATTTCTATAAGAAGTGGTTATAAAACTCGTTTGTTAACAGCTTAACGGGTTTAATATAATTCAGACAGCTTTATACATATGAGAAGATGTTGAAATTATATATTTTCTTGGTGTTGCAGGTACGTGCCGGGGTTGGACAAAGGGAAGGGACTGTACTTCCTATTCATCAAAGCCGAGACCAAAACCCCAAGCGGTTTAGTAGCTCGACCGGTTCTTACCAGTTACTATAAAAGCCAACAATTCAAAACCCGGCCCTACGATCCCTACAACGTTTACACCAGTCCCAATGAAACCATCCTCTGTGTCGATTCCTTTCAAAGCATGTACTCTCAAATGCTCTGTGGTCTTATATATCATCAACAAGTCCTCCGTTGTGGGGCGGTTTTTGCTTCCGGTCTAGTTCGGGCCATTAAGTTCCTCACGTTAAACTGGAAACAACTCGCCCTAGATATTCAAACCGGATGTTTGAACCCCAAAATCACCGATCCGGATATTCGTGCATGCATGTCCAACATTCTGAAGCCTGACCCGGACCTCGCCCGGTTTATTACGGTTCAGTGTTGTGAAGGGAACTGGGAAGGGATTATAACCCGGGTTTGGCCCAACACCAAGTACCTTGACGTCATCGTGACGGGTGCCATGGCTCAGTACATTCCTATTCTGGATTTTTACAGCGGTAATTTACCTCAAACTTGTACGATGTATGCCTCCTCTGAGTGTTACTTTGGATTAAATTTAACCCCCATGGTGAAACCGTCGGAGGTTTCATATACCATCATGCCAAACATGGGTTATTTTGAGTTCATCCCACATAACTCGGTTGACTCGGTGTCTGACTCGGTTGACTCGGTGTCCCACTCGGTTGATTCGCCACCTCAACTCATTGAGCTAGCTGACGTCGAACTCGGAAAGGAGTATGAACTCGTCATTTCGACCTACTCGGGTCTTTGTCGATACCGGGTCGGAGACATTCTCCGGGTCACGGGTTTCCACAATTCGGCCCCGCAATTCAAGTTCATCAGAAGGAAGAATGTTTTACTAAGTATTGAATCCGATAAAACCGATGAAACTGAGTTGCAAAACGCCATTGAAAAGGCTTCCGAGCTTTTAAAGGAATTTAACACTGCGGTTGTGGAGTACACGAGCTACGGAGACACGAAAACAATACCGGGCCATTACGTTATTTACTGGGAGTTGTTGGTGAAAGATCCGAGTCACGGACCCGGTTCAGAGGTGTTGGATCAGTGTTGTTTGGCGATGGAGGAGTCTTTGAATTCGGTTTATCGACAGAGCCGGGTTGCAGATAATTCCATTGGTCCGTTGGAGATCCGGGTCGTGAAAAACGGAACCTTTGAGGAGTTAATGGATTACGCCATCTCGCGAGGTGCATCCATTAACCAGTATAAAGTTCCAAGGTGTGTCAGTTTCACACCGATCATGGAACTTCTAGATTCTAGGGTCGTATCGACCCACTTTAGCCCAAGTGCACCACATTGGGTTCCAGACCAACGTTTCAAAGACATCAACTTTGTTAGCAACAAATCAAAATGAAATTAGAACAAAGATTTGGTCGATCACGTAAAACATGCTTCTGTGACGTAGGTTCTGAGAATGAAGGGTATAATGTGTAATTTCAGAAAGTAAAGGGTGTATTGTGCAGGTTTAGAAAGTCATGTACCAATAATGTAATTGTTGAAATGATGATTTATTTTTTGCATGTTTTGTTGAACTTTTGTAGTTGATGGGCATTATTGTAAGGTGATTTATATTCCAGAGGGTTATTGTTTTTATATTATTCTCAAAGGGCTTTATTGTCAAGGGGATACTAATGTGTGTTATGTGTGCTTCTATTTTCTAGGTTCTATGATTTTGTATGATAATATTACATGGGGATCATTGAATCATATTATCATGAGTTGGCATCAAGGTTGTTTTTGTAAGACATGTGAGTCAAGTTTATATACTTGAAATTTTACAGTAAAATGTTGTGAAAGTAGCTTTTACAGTGTTTATGCTGTGAAGATTCGTTTTCTTTTTACCTTCACAGTGTTTTGCCGTGAATTTTCACGTGTCTAACGAAAACAGTCTGGTTTCACGTGAACTCAATTCATATATCGTAACTTATATACAAAGAAGCGAATCTATATAGAAGCATATGATGGTGTATGTTACTGTTTTATGATTCAATCGCAGCGGAAAATAATTAAGTTTAATAAAAGGTGTCACCATAATATTATATTATGTGTTCATATATTCTTAGAACTACTTATATGACAATATTTTATCGATAACATTAATTACTTATCTACATATTTTCTTTTATGTTTCCTATATGTGCATCATCTTTTAATTTGCAATGAAAACTATGTATGACGATTAAAAAACCCATTCAATAAATAATTATTATATTATTATTGTTATTGTTATTATTATTACTATTATATTGTTGACAAACTTGTAATAAAATCGACCGAGGTTCACGAGATCAAACATAGTAGAACATGGTGGGAAAAAAAAAAGGTTAAACTTGATTTTTGTCTATTTTTGGTTGGTTTTATCTGGCTTGTTTGAGTTTTATATGATATAAAATCTACAGGGGTGTTTGCTTCATAAAATAGAATTTGATGAAATTGAAGTCTATAAAAGGAATTTGACTTTGAAAAAATTGGAATGAAATTTGATGGAATTTGACCACGCGTTTGGTTGATAGGAATTGGAATGAAATCTCTTAAAATAATTGAAAAAATTGTCTTTGTTTGGACTATCCCACCATCGCCTCACCCACATCCTATCAATCACCTTGTCATTACTATCGTTGTGACAACTATCAACTCTACCCTCCCCCAGCCCAGCCCAGCCCAGCCCAGCCCACATCACTCATGCCCCACCCCCTGCTCCATAGGTGGGGGTTGTTGGGGGCCAGCAGAGTGGGGTGGGACCAGAGTGGGACAATGGCGGCATGGTTGTAGCTGTGACGACTACAGTGTATGCTGGTGGGTTGGAGTAGGGTAAGGTGGGGTAGGTAGGGGTAGGTGGCGGGGTGGTAGCTATGATGATGATAGTGGTCGAATGGCTGGGGTCTGGGAGTGAGTGGGTACGACGACAACAATAGTGACATGGTGTTTAGTGGTGGGTTGGAGTAGGGTGAGGTGTAGGACGTTTGGTTAAGGGCGGTGGGGATGGGTGGTAGTTGTGACGATGATAGCGGTGGGGTGGTGGTCGGTTGGCTGGGAGTGGGTAGGTATGACGAACAATAATAGCATGATCGTGGTGGGTGGTGATAAAATTCAATTCCTTCAATTATGTCAAAAAACAATGAATTCATTAATTTGTAAAATTCAATGGATTTTGTCATTCCAATTCCATCAAATTCATTTGAATTCCGCAAATCAAACGGCCCCTAAGTCTCGTGGACCCTTAAATATTATACATCGTTTTTTCTTTTTCTTTTCTTTTCGTGTTCTAATAAAATTGGTTCGCCTTCATGAAAAAGCATGAACCCCTTTTTATCTATTTCTTAATCAATGATCTTAAAATTATGCTATTGACTTGATCACAAAATAATGCCACAGTTAAACAAGTGTCATTTAATAATTTCTACATAATTAATTAATTACCCTAGTTATAGGGTGATTAGAGACAATGTCACTTTCTGTTCAAAGCCTATAATACTATAATTAAAGGCTACGAAAGTGACTTAATTAACTTTTAATCGCAATTAATTAACACTTGATGATTGGATGATAATATAAGTATTGCTTAATCAATTCAGACGGCACTTAAATATGTTCTCGCATAAAAGACACATACCACAACTGAAAAGGGAAAGCAAAAGCTTGTGTCTCCCCTAAGACCATAAATACAAAATTAATATTAAAAATATTTTAAATTAATGGTTATTATTAAGAATTTATTTTCTTGAAAAATAAAAATTTGTGTTCGTTAAATATTTTTTATTTTTTAATCAAACTAAAAAACAGTAAAAAATCATAATTAATTAACTATTTACTTAAGCATAGTAAATTATGTGTGTTTAAAAACTCAACTAGCCCGGCCAACTTAATCGATTGGAAATAACCAGATCCAATTTAATTTAAAATAACCTGATACTTAATTGGGTTATAAATTTTTTAAACCGTAGGATTTGGTTGAAAATTGAAATTGAGTTTGGGTTATTTGAATCTGATGTATTCATGTAACATGGATATATAATATCCTTAAGACCTTGATAAATATATGTACATTTGACATTAGATCAATCCAGAATTAGCTTTTTTCAAGCTTATATTACAATTTTAATCGTAACTTTATTTATTTTGATTTAAATGGACCGTTAAGAGATGAATCTTGTTTGACAAAAAAAAAAAAATTTGTCTCTTAATGGTTCTAAAACCCTCTGAATGATTTTGCATCATGGGCCTCCCTTAACCATTGAGTGCCCTAATTTTATTGTAAGCGTTTACCAAACAATTATATTTCATTTTGTAATATATCACGAGAGCCTCTTAATCATTATGACCACTTAATCATTCTGCACCAAACTATTCAACAACTAACAACACAACCCCTTAGTCTTATTATATGTTTTCGTTTTGATTTTACTTCGGTTAAACAGAAGGCAAAGGATTGTGTGAGAAAAGAAATTATGGTAAGAAGCGTAAAAAGAGATCTAAAACGTTTGATCACTTTTAATTTCATGTTCACCTATGAATTGCGATTTAGAAAAAGAATTGATTTGGTGTATCTCGGTGCACCTCATTAGTGTTGACATTCAATTATGATTGATCTAAGGGTGGAGATATCTTCTTACGCTTCTCCCTGGAACCCAACCCTTAAACACAATCTCTTACCTAGATTAAACATGATACATCCCGATCAATCCAACCTGTATAATCGAGTTTGGTTTATATTGAAAATTTTCAAACCTTAAACATTGAGTTGAGTTGTTAAAATGTATTTATTTCAAACCCACCAAACCAACCAGTAATAAATATTAATTGCAAAAAGATATTTAAAGTTTTGATGGAACCCACCAATTTCTTGCATTTCATTTTTATGACATGGTTCATGCCATGTAATCTTGAAACTATCACCCACCATCCCTAGGTTTCCATGATAGGATGTTGCATGATACAGATGAATGAAAAGGATAGTTTAGTAATTTACTTTTAATGGCAAATTTTATTATTTTTAAATATATTATTTGATTTAGCATCGAATAAATATAATTATTTAATAAGATATATATATATATATATATATATATATATATGTATATATATCTTGAATTAGTTAAAATTATAGTTGAAAAAAAGGTAAATGAAATTGATAATATAAATTAACAAAAAAATTTAGAAGAACTCAACGTATTATTTCATTTTGAATACTTAAATATATGAATTATTTTTGAAAGAAAAAACCATTAAACTGTCTTATTTTGAATGATTAAGTCTTCGAACTATTTTTTTTAAATGAAAAATCATTAAACTTTATCATTTTGAATAATTAAGTAGTATCTACACATTTTTTTCAATAAAATAAACCATCATATTTTAAAGTTTTGTTACTTACATCATTTTAACAAAAAAACATGTAACTGGCTAAAATTTTTTTAAAGTAAAACTACTTGTAACCCTCTAAAAATAGATCAAAAATAGGGAGATCGGCGGCAGGGGCCAACAGTGTGATAACCAATATGAAAAGCAGACAATGATGGGACGACAAGGAGTGACGAAGGGGAGTAAAACCGTTGTTTGTGAGGGGATTGAAGTGCTTAGAGTTTGGAAACTGTAGAACCGATTTAGGTTTTCTTTTTTACTTTAATATCTTTCTAAAAGTTCAATGATTCGTTTATTACAAAAATAATATTTAGGAACCTAATCATCCAAAATTAAAAAAATTAATGGTTTTTTCATTTAAAAACTTAATCATTCAAATTGAGAAAGTTTAATGGTTTCTTATTAAAAAATTAATTTAAAGACTTAATTATTTAAATTGAAAGTTTAATAGTTTTTTTAAAAAAAAAATAGTTCAAACACTTCGATTATTTAAAATAGAGTAGTTTATTAGGTTTTACGAAATTTTCCATATAAATTAAAGATGAAAAACAAATGAAACTTTTCTAAATAATTTAGAGCATGTCAAGTTTAATCCCAAATTTATTTATTTTAATATTTATGTCGTTAATAAATATATTAAAATAATATAATAATACTATTCGGTTACATTATGTTTTGTGTTAGTTTCAACGTAATATTTTGGTCTTTCAAGTATTAAATTTATATATTTTTAATTAATTTTATAATATATATAATAACGTTTTAATTTTATTTATTACATATATTATATTACAAGTTAGATTTATACTCAATTTTTTAAGCTATTATTAAAAATACTTTTTACATATTGATCAGCTTAATTATGTAAATCATGATTACTTGTTAATAATATAAAATTCAAAAACATATTTAGTTAAATATCTCATACACAGATTTATATTACAGAATTGCTAACGAGAAGGTAAAAAAAATAACCGAAAGTTAAAATCTGAACAACAAGAAGCGTGTAGAAAATATGTAGAACCTGCATGTTCTCCAATCAGACTTAAAATGGCACAATCAATCCATCTTTTGGAAGAAAAAAAAACGTGTAACATGACATAATAGAGACATGCATTATTTTATATAACATGGTAATCGAGGATGA